TTTACATAAAATCATATTTCAAACCATAAGTAATGTTCGACAGCCAAATAAAAGAAACAGTACCAATACGGGCTTACAGTTTAAGGCTCGACATTGTGTTGTCTACGATTAGACAGCTGATAACTCATTCCCGTACGTCGTATGGTCGTAACACTATAATGACCTTTGCTTATTGTCACAAGTGCGCCGCATTCGCGATTGTTGCCCGACGCCTGTTTGCAGGTGAGCCCACTACAGTTGTTATACATATCTAAAAACCGATAAACTTTTAGGCGAAAAAGGCACTATTCCAGGCCCATTTTTGATTTTTTTTGCGATATTAGGTAAAAACAGAAGCTTCTTATCCTAGGAAAAATAAAATGGGAAATCTTTCAAAGGTGGCACACTACCTTTAAAAGATGGCACGGTACCACTCTACAGTGACTGCCAGCATGCGGCCATGGTTTCTGACATCAGCACTTCCAAGCCTGCCAATTTTGGCATTCCTTAGGAATTTGCCCACAATATGCCAATAGTATAAAACATAATCCATCGAAACATTAATATGTCAAATTTTAGATGAATTCGTAGACTGGTTCAGTCGTGGTGGCAGATGGCAGCCGCGAGAGCTTCATTGTTTTTCCGTTAAGTTTTGTCGCCAAGTCAAATTTCCCCATTTTAACGCTTTCTTATTTATTTGGAAGCTCATGTGATGCTAACTAAAGGAGCTATGCAGATACAAAACTTTTTTCAACAGGCTTTCGAATGGCATGCAAGTCAAGTCTCCGTGAGCTCTCACATGCTCACAAAGTCGTTTTAAAATGTGTCAGTTTTTCGTGAACATCCCTGTACATGGACTTTTACGCCAATCGATAGTTCAAGTGAGAAGAGGGAATTGTATCATGCCTAAACATTTTCCATAGGAATTTCTGCCATAATATTTCCCGCCTGTCGCACTGGCGGCTTGTCGTGGCGCCGCACCGGGCAGCGAGCTCGCCATTACGGTGAGCCTCGGCGGCAGCTCGGTTCTTCCTTGGCCGTCCCTCGCCATCCGCATACTGAGTGATGATCAAAGGCAGGACGGACGCCTGCCCGAACCTCGCGGGACGTTGCGGCAGGCGACTCTGATGTAGTGGGGGGGGGGGGGGGGCGAGAGGGGGTGTCGAAACACAACATGGTCAGGTAAAACTGGGATGAAAAGAGAGGAAATTGAGGTACTTTTGACTGGTGACGATTTTTCGAAACTATATTCCGCTATGCATTGTCATGATTGATACGTAAAAACATGTTGATCTCGCACTTAAATGTGAATTTTATAGCAAATTAGTTGGGCACTAATCCACAATCTTCTAAATTTAAAACTGATTCATTGTGCGGCTGAACAAGCGATGTGTTTGTGCTTCTGAGTTATGCACGCAAGTGGCATGCATACTCGTAATTACGCATCCAAACGTAGCCAAAACATCGCGCGCAGTGCGCACTAGTGAATGTCTCCGCCAGAAATCGGAGACTGCAATGCAGCACAGGTGGACATCTCCGGCACGACCCGTGCACAGCAGGTGAGGAAGATGACCGAATTTTTACCCCGCAAACACGCTACAAATCAAGATTTTATGTCAAACAGATCCCGACAGAGCTTGATACTTATCTAACCACCAAAACCGCGCTCCTTAATTGAAAAGGGCAAATCTAACAAGGTGGCAGCGGTGTCGGCCGCGGCCGCGCGGTGTCCGCGGTAGCTGCGACACCACTGCCTTGGCCAGCACCAGTGACTGCACCAGAAGATACGAGCGCTGACATCACCAGCACCACAGAGCACCAGTCTGACCGCGGCGGGCACCGCTGGACGACCACCGCGCCGGCCGCCGATCGGCCGCGGCCGCTATCTCCCGGATCGGATTTTTTCCGCGTCCGGGAGGAGCTCTCGGCGGCGTGGACGATAAAAACCGGCGTGGCAGCTGTCTGGCCACACCGCCCCCCGGCGACGCCATAAATTATTGGACGCCCGATCCGTCAGCGACGCGACGGCCGGTCGGCCCGGGCCGCACCGGGCCGTGACGTGACGTGACGCTCGGAACGCCCAGAGCCGTGTAGTGTCGTCCGGGGTGCTCAGAACATCGTTACGCTGCTGTGCCGTTTTCAGTATGACCTCTGAACTCAAAATAATTTCTACCGTGTCTGGTGTCACTCAATATAAGCTTGTGTACCTTCATCACGGCCATTCTCACGAGCTGTCTTGAGTGCTCGTGTCTACAATTTCATCATCTTGTCAGGCGGTCAGCGGTGACCACAACTCAACTGCGCAGCTAGGTATTGAGAAACGGATTCGGTCCAGTCACACCTCAAAGCCAGAAGAAGTCAAAGGAGACACGGATGTGAGTGGCGAGCTCGTAAATCACGACGCGACCGATACAGACGGCCGACGGGATGTGGCCGCTAGGACACGGGTTTTCAATTATGGCGCCCGGTGCGCCGAATCGGCCGCCGGCGGGGGCGTCCGCGGTCGTGCTCGGCGGCGCGGCGGGGCGTGCGTCGCGAATGCCTCCGCGCGGCCTCCTGCGCGGTTAACGCCGCTCCCGCCCGCCGGCAATTAATCGGTGACGCAAAAAGACGTGAGCGCGGTGCGCCGAGTACGTGAAGGATGGTCGCCGTCCGGTCCCTGCTCGAAGGCTGGCCGCCGCCGCGGACGGACCGAGCGACTTTGCACAGTTGCGGCCAACTCCGTGCCCACAGTGCAGTCTGAGCAGCAGCCGCCGGCTGTGACGGAGGCGGGACGGAGGCGGCACTGCCGCGGGCCACCCGGAACCGGCGTTGACGTCGTTAGCTGCCGGATGCATAGAAGACTGATCATGAAACCAAGGTGTGTTGGCGGAGTTAGATATCAAGTTGGTTTTGAGCCGAAAAGTTGGCTGTATAAACAGGAAGAGGGTGCCTTGGGATAGAAGTTTGAAATTCGTTTAAGTCAAGAATCAGGACCTGGTGCCCGTGATGCACCAAGAGAGCATATGGAACCGACAGAAGTCACTCAGCCGTCAATAATAGGCTGACAGAACAGGCGGAAGGGTGGGTTCGATCCTCGCGACCTCCTCAGTGTTTTTGTTGCTTTCTTCTTGTGTCGTAGGCGGGCGGTGGCTAGCGGCGTCTTTTTGTCACAGGCAGGTAGACAGCGTTCGGGCACGCTTTTTCGCCGGATCTCGGTCTTCTTTTAGATTCCATTTAACTGTTTGATTGCAGCGGGTCGAGCGGCCGGCGCGCGGCCCGCCAGCCAATGCTACCCTGCACGCATACCAAGTGGCGCGGCGCGGGGGAGCGGCCGCCCTGCCTGCTGCCACCGCCGCGCCCCGACCCCGCCTCTCCTCGCGCAGGGAGCGACTGCAGCTCCGCGGCCGTGCGCGTGCCACAGAGCAAAATCAATGTTGTCCGTATTACCATTAATTGAATGGCCATCCCGCATATCAACTGCTAAGACCTTCCGATTTGCATATGTTTGTTTTAATAATTAATGAAGGTGACGTCACTCGTCTGCTGAGCAGCCTGAGCAAGGTGGCGTGACGTCACCGGGATGGCCTCTCAACTGGCGTTCAATTTGCTATTAGCGCGTCCCGTTGTCTGCGGTTTTCACGCCTCCTCGGCCGGTGACTAGGCGCGCGGCGCGGTTTTTGTTTTGTGTAATGACGGCGCACGCCGGCCGGTCGGGCAGCGTTTGAGGTGGCCCGGCATTGGAACGTTGCGGCGGCCCAAACCAGTTCTCTTCGGGCTCACTGAATGCTGGTGAATTGAACGCCGCTAAAATAAATGCCGATCAATGGAAAATCGCTAAAATACCCACCACAAAGCGGCTTTTGTGTGTGGTGGCACCGCGTTTGGTTCGACTGTCGGCGCGCTTTCGAGCCGCTCGCGTCATGCCGGCGAAACTGACGCAGGGGCGCGCCCAGCTGTCGCCAACATAATGCGCCGCCAACACCTTTGTATAACCTGCATTGCTGTTCTCACCTGTGCCCTGAGGCGACGAAGAAGCCACGTGCAAGCGCGGCGCGCGGCGAGATGCGAGGGCTGGGAGGCTGCGAGGCCGAGACGCCGCCGCCGGCCGCACGTGCAAACGGCGCGCGCGGCGCGGCGCGGCGGCGGCGGCGGCGGCGCAGCTGGCGCGGTCGAGACAGACGCGGCGCGGTGACACAGCACTACGCCGCCATCCATCAGCACGGCACAATTATCAGCTCTTCACGGAGACGCGTGCCGCGCCGCCAAATTAAAATCCCGAAATCACGCCCCGATTGGCCTATTATGACGTTTTGATAAATTGGCTGGCGGCGCGGGGGCGCAGCGCGTGGCCGGTCCACCGGGCCGCACCGAGCGTGGGAGCGCCGCCCGCCGGCCACGGTCCGGCCCTCGGCCGCTTGATGGCCCGGCCCATGTGAATTACTCCCGCTGCCCTTGACGCCAGGCTCGTCTCAAACGGCCCTAAATGGCTTGTAATCCGCATATAAGACCCAGAAACGGATAAAACCTAATTGCGGTTTCGCGTGGCGGCGACCGGGCGCACCGGCCAGCCGGCGATGCCGCTTCATCTAAATCCTATAATTATTGGTGAAATAATTCCAATTTGCATAATTATCAGCCAAAGCAGGTTGCAGAGCACCCAGTTGAGACGCCGGTGATGTGCACCACTGCTGCCGGGTTTGCCGGTGTTCTCCCACACGGCGTCTATGAGCCCGGTCGGCAGGTGGCGGCCCGCCCGTCCGCCCCGCCGAGCCGCCCGGGCCGACCATGGGGGCAGCGTGATATCCTTGAGCCGGACCGGACCATGGCGGTGCCGGCGGCAGACGGCGGCAGACGGAGGCCCGGTCCGTCAGCCCCCTGACTGTGGTAGCTCCCCAGCCAGCCATGTCTGCTCTGCAACCAGCTGCATACGGCACCTTTCCGGACAGCTGCGACAGCTTCCCAGACAGCTGCGGCTGCGACAGCTCGCGACACCCGACCACCCATCCACCGACCGGACTCTCAGCCCAGCGGCGACTCACCTCGGCGCGGTGCAAGACTGGTCGTCCGTCCCCACAGCAGCCTCGTCGGTCAGCGGCAGGTCAGCAGCGGTCAGACGGCGTCCGGCAGGGCTGACGTCACGAGGCGGGGGCTCTCAACGTGGCGTCCCGGCTCGTTATTGATTGCGGCGCCAATGATGACCGATGGAGACGCTGTCGGCGGAGATTTGAGCTACACTGACGGGCGGCGGCTGGCCGGCCGCGGCGGCGGTGCAGCATTGTTCATTGCCCGTCGGGTGGCGGAGGGACGGGTGGGGTGCTGCACGGGAGGCGATGGAGGGGAGGGCGGCCGGGACGGTCAGTGCAACTGAACTGCCGTCTCCACACCATATGCACTACAACTGCCTGGTTATTTACCTAAACCTAAAACGGCATTCTATGACAGTAACATTACTCAAACACATCATTCTAACATGTTATAGGCATCTACCTGGCGTCTACCTACCTGTGAATAACTACACTACCCTAACTCTAACCGTATGGCATACTCCTCGCACAAACCAGTTCAGCATCTCAGAGCTAAAACATCATAGCATAGCTCGCATGCACACACACACAACTGGATAATTTACGCAGCGCCGTCACGCGGGGGCATTGACGTTTTTGACAGTACCTGTGCTGAGCCGGCGGTGGGTGACGAAGTGGGTCGCGGCACGCGCCACCACCCGGTGGTCCCGGTCCGGTCCGGTTCGGGGCGCCGGGCGGTCCGGTCCGGGGCGCCGCGCGATGATGGGGCGTCTTCTGAGCGGCGCGACACGGCTCAGCAGCCGGCGCGGCCTTCGGCGCCCACCGCCGGCCGTCAGAATGGCACCGTACCAACAGCTGGCTGAGGAATAACAGACTCGTCAGTGGCGGCCGGCACGACACGGCATCGAGGCGCTCACCTTGTGCCGAGGACTCTCTCTCTCTCTCTCTCTCTCTCTCTCTCTCTCTCTCTCTCTCTCTCTCTCTCTCTCTCTCTCTCTCTCTCTCTCTCTTCACGGAACTCAACTTACTTTTGCTTTTGTGAAACGGGTTTAGGCTAACTTTTCGTTAGCCTAAACCCGATTTTCAATTTATTTTAATTTACCCTAACTTTTTGGATAGCATAAATTAAAACTAGTGTATTTTGATAGGAACAGCCCAGATCCGAGTTTATACTAACTTTGGAGCACGTTAGCCTAAACCAGATTTACCCTAACCTGGCCAATTAAACGATTCTGCTAGTTCATATTTTATCCACCAGAGTTTGCTTCATACTCAAAGGCCTTCCTCGTCCAGTAAAAGATCTGGCAGCGATGTGCTACGTCGATTTGGAAGCACGACTGAGATACAATTTCGGCGCAGCTGTTTGCACGCCGGAATATCTTTGAGCGTTATTGTTGTTGCACGTGCAGTTTCAAGGATGGTGGTCGTTGTGTGCCTACAACAGGTAAGCTAAATATTGTTCTCCCTAATATATGATAGATCAGGTTAAGTAAACAGCCAGAAGAACTCCACCCACCCATATTGTTGTCACTTGTCTCCTTGTTTTGTTTTGTTTTAACACCTAGGTACCTTCTTGCAAAAATTGCCTGTAGGTAGCTTGTGCCTGCCATGACATGACTAGAGTCCATACCGGTATCCGTTTTTGCTTTATCTTGGCGGCTATATAGTTGTGTGAAGATGGTGGATACTAGGCTCATGTGTTGTTAATGGTTACATCACTTTTCATTTTGAATTGAAGGAGCAGGGCATCCTTACAATTGTAAAACTAACCATACTTTGTTGGAAGCCGTTCTGTTAGGTTGTGCATCAGTTGGGTAAAGGACGAGGCTCAAATCCAAATATTGATTGACCAATGAAAGGTTGGAGTGGGCAGGGCCATGACCATGTAACGAAAAAATGGACGTGATTTTGTGCATCCTAGCTTTCAAGTGAAAAATAAGACGTTAGCAAGTTGTGATTCACACAAGGCCTGTACTCACTCAGCGCACAATTAACTGGCGGTCCTAATGAAGTAAGTTGTGACTCAAGGCCAACCGACGTTTGACTGCAATTGCTGATCGAAAGAAACTGCCAGAAAAAGTGAGTAATTAAGAGATGGTAAATAGTTATTATTTGTATTAATTTGTTTACAATATTGTCAATTATAGCAAAATTAATTATTATTCAATAGTTACTATTTTGTATTTATTGTTTTAAAAATAAATTTCTAAACGTTTTTCATAGTGCCGATCCATTTATGGAATGGCCAGCTGATTGTCTGCCAAAGTGGACGCCCAGAACCTGCAAAAAATATCGTCATTTTCGGGTGAATGTGCGTACTTTCGTCAAGTATTACTCGTTAACTATCATTCCTTTGGTAAATGGAAGCTTTTTCTCTTCAGTGGGTGTACTCAATACCGCAAGTATTGTCCCGTTACACTGAATGCACCCCGTCATAGCGGGGGCTGCATTTATGCCCATATATGGTCATAGGTACAAGATCCATTTATTGATCGATCAATGTTTTTATTTCTGCCTCATAGTTTCCCCAATTGGCATGCTTCTTGTAAAACACTGATTGGCAGTGCTGCTAGCAGGTGGCAAAGAAAAATGATGAAGCTAACCACACACAAAAAATACAGCCAAAATAATGACTGTTTTTTTATGCAAAGCATGCTAAAAGGCAATCAGGAAATTGATTTTTTATGGAGGCAATCTGGTGTCAAAATCAAACTATTGATTCCACAAACATTAGTTTGTGTTTTGTTTTTGATAGTTTGGCTATTAACAAAATTGCATAGGCGTAGGAACAGGAGGGGCCAGGTGGGCAAGTGCCCACTTACTTTTTGAGGTGGGGGGCCGGGGGCTACAGGGCCTCCTGTAAGGGATTTTCACTGGAGGGGGGGGGGGCAGAGGCTCAAGGAGCCAAACCTAGGGTTCCCTCAAATCCTGTTTTCTCATCGGATTTAGGCCACTTATTTTTAGTCATAGCCCTGACACAATGATCTTTTCTTAACTAAGAAAAATAAAAATAGTAGCCTATCTTATCCATGCTTTGATATTTATTTGTAACCCTTTCACATTGCCCGACCAGGTGGTTACAAAAATGAAATACAAAGGAAATACAAACCTCCCAATTTTAACCCTCGCCCGCACATGGGGGGGGGGTGGTTGCCACCCCCTCCCAGGTAGTCTTTCTGCTCTGCACTCAACCTTTTTAGAGCTAGAAGGCTGATTTTTCGTATAGCTGCTCCTCTTTCCTTTCTTGATGTCCACTGAAAATTTCAAGGATCTGTGATTTTTGGTTTCGGAGATATGACCTTGTTTTTCAGGTCATGTCATGACCCAAATGGACAATTCTCAACATCTTGCGTTGGCTATGGGCCTTGTGAGCTTTTGACACCTTGATTTCGGCTTTTTTGCCAGTCTTACCTCCCACCTATCATGGAACATGTTGTTCGACGATGTACAGGTGTCAAGGTCAGGGTCAAGGTCAACCTAGGTCATCTAAGATAATTGCGTTTTAGGCAAGCTGAATTTACTTTTTGTGAAGTTTTTTTGACTGCATTTTCGGTAAAAGCTTCTCAGATCATGATTTCATGTAATATGGACACAAAAAAAAATCGGTGCACACATCAGAATACACACAGACACGCAAACACATATAATTGACCTTGACCTAACTTGACCTGGAATGACCTCAGCAGCAAAAATCTGGTCGGGTAGTGTGACAAGGAGGTTCTAGCTGGCTTGGCACCAGAAAACAGCATCGTCATCGGTATATGATAAGCAGCGCACTTGATATCCAACGGTGACCCAAAACAGCAACATTTTTTAGTTTGACCTGACCTGGAAGGTCAATGACTGACCTGAGAAGTTAAAACTGGGTATCATTGGATTCGTCTCTTCCCAAAGAATCTTTTTGGTCTTTACCGCTAAGCTCTATCTCCAACAGGAACGAAATGGCGCGGGGGGGGGGGTGGCAACCCCCCCCCCCATGTGCGTTCTAGGATGGGAAAATGGCATGTGCGGGCGAGGGTGCTATCTTGCTCAAAATTTTGCGCTGAACCTGAATCCCCTTTCAGCATTTGGGGCCTGGGGGTAGGTCTGGTCAGGTAAGATCAGGTCAACCAGTGTCCAGTAGCTAGCCTAGGTGTCATGCCAGGTAGCCAAAGTAGGTGTCAATCACCACTGAAAGGGAGCTTCGTAACATGGGAAGCTTCGTAACATATTTTTTGGCACCAAAACCTCTCCTGAAAATGGATCCTAAATTCGACATCTGCAAAAAGGACACTAATATATGTTGAAACTTGAAAAGGTGAAGCAAGGTCATCTAAGCTCAGTAACCTTGACCACCTGACCCTAATGCGACCCTGACACCTACCATAAGGCATGGTATTACAATCATCCCACAAGTTGGCGCGTTTTTTTTAAGACACAAATAGTCTGAAAACGCGTTGATAATGTGCGGTAACACGCAGAATCGCGATTCTGCCATGCCATGGTCTCTAGAAACACGCCATAGGTCAAGGGTCATGGGGTTCGGGGTCATATAATTGTCATGATGTGTGTAATTTTGATTAGCTCGTGAATGCGAAAAGTTTCGCCGCGATCGGCCACCTTTTACGAGTTTTTTTCTTAACTGAGTGTCATGGGTGGGTCTATCCGACCTCCCAATAAGCGCGACGTTCAATTTCTCTCAAACACTCAGGGTATATTTTAACAAACTGACTGCGTCCCTTTGGGGACGCAAGCCCCTGCCTTTGGGACGTAGCCCTCGCGAAATTTGAACCACTGCGTCCCACACTGGAATGACAGGGTGTCAGCGGAAAAGTGCTAGCAAAAATAAGTAACATGCCTCGGTCTTTTACTGTGTAACAGATGTTGCTTTTCGATTGCTTTGTGCCCTGATTTACTATGTACTTAAGCACAAACATGCCCTCTCCATTCCTTGTGCCTTGCCCTATCCTGAAGACGTACACCTTGTTATATCCTCCCCTACTATACCCCTAGGGTATGTGCCCTGCTCAGTGTCCTGTCCTTACATCTTGTACCTTGCCCTGCCCTTCCTTCAGGCCCTGTGCCCCGCCCTGTCCTGCCCTCAAATCCGATACCTTAAGAGTATGTACTCTGCCTTGAAGTTGTATGCGCTGTCTTCCCATCTTTACGCCCGTGCCCTACCCTAGTTTGAGGCCCTGTGCCCTTCTCTGCCCTCAAGCCTTGTACACTTGTCCTGCCATCAGACCCCGTGCCCTGCCTTGCCCTCAGGTGCTGTGCCCTGTCCTGCCATCAGGTCTTGTGCCTTCCCATGCCCTCATGCCCCGGCCCAGCGTCCTTCCTCAAGCGTGATGCCTTGCCCTGCCTCAGGCCCTGTCCTGTCATGTTTTGCTACCAGGCCCCATGTGCATGCCCTGCCCTCAGACCCTGTCCTATTCTGCCATTAAGCCTTGTGCATTGTCTTGCCCTCAGACCCCGCCCTCGCACTAAGCTGCTGTGCTCTGCCCTGTCATCAGGCCTTGTGCTGTCCCATGCCATCAGCCCTGTGTCCTACTCTGCCCTCAAGCCTTGCACACTGCATTTCCCTAAGGTCTCGTGTCCCACTGCTCTTAGGCGCTGTGCCCTGCCCTGCTATCAGGCCTTGTGGTGTCCCCCGTCCTCAGGTCCCGTGCCGTTTCCCGTCCTCATGCCCTTACCTGTCCTCACAACCTGTGCTTTGTTCTGCCCTCATGCCCTGAGCCTTGTCTTGCCCTCAGGCCCTATACCCTGTCTTGTCATACATTCAGGCCTTGTGCCCTACCTGTGTCCTTATATCTTGCTCTGCCCTTAGGTACTGTTTCTTGCCCTGCTCTGAGATCCTGTGTGTGTGTGTGTTGCCCTGCCATCAGGTGTGGTGTTCATCAGGTGTTCTAAGGCCCTGAATCTTGCACTACTCTCCAGCCTTGTGTAATGACAGCCTCAGACCCGCGCCTTGCCTTGCCCTCGGACC